CCTCCAGCCCGCGCTGCGCGCTCCGCGCTCTGGGCCGCGCCGCCGCCGCCCCCAGCCCTTTATAGGAGCAGCTGCCAGAGCCGGCGTCGCTTATTGGCTGCGGTAGCTGAGCCCCGCCTCCTCGCGGCGCCCGACGGCGCGGCAGGTGGAAGAGAGCGCGAGCTGGCTAAGACTCCGCACCCCCAGAAAGCACTCCCTGGGGGCTCTGGTTGCCATTTTCGGGCCCCTCTGCCCCCGTGGCCCCTGCTTTCTGCATTTCCGCCCCTTCTTGGGCGGGCTTTCTGCCCGGAAGACAGGGAAGGCTCCCCTCCTCTGTCCAACGACCTGAGCTGTTGGAGCAAAGAGGGAGATCCGTGGACCGATTGTACGAACTTCCGGAGTTGCTGTCCATCAAGAAGACTGGAAAGGGACGAGGAACCAAGATTTCTATGAGCAGAGGCCCAGGTCCGCAGATTTTGGAGGCATCGGGTGTAGCCTCCCAAGACCAGTGGAGAAGGATGGGGGTGGCAGGGGCTCTCGTCTGCCTACAGAAGGAACTGTGACCCTGAGGCTTTTGAATGGGATAGGTTCAAAGGGTGGGTTCGAAAGGTGGGGACTGGCACTCCACAGCGCAAGGGCACTCGGTACTTCTCCAAAGCGGGTGAAAAAATTTGGGGCTTAGGATTTCAGGCAAAACCCATTGGTGCCCTGTGTTTCCGGAAAACCACCGGGCCTTCTGAGACCCCATAAATTTTGGGTGGGCAGAGCTGTTGTGTAAATGTCCTGGCTTTTCGGGCTCGTGATTGGTCTGCCTGTGGAGTCACGCTTTCTTTCAGGTAGGGGGAACCTGGCTTCTCTCTCAGGCGACAGAAGTTGGTGCAGCCTCTTTTGGTGAGCGGGCTCAAGGGCACATTTACGTTGGGACGGCTATCAGGCGGGAGGAAGAGTCCTCACTAAGGCAGGGTCGCCTTCGACTGAGACTTCAGCACCACAGACAGCGGCCCGACGTTCTCTCCGAGAGCGCCGAGGGCTGGGTAGCCAGAGACCCCTAATCCGAGAGTCGCAGCCTCCACCCTAACCTCGTCCCTGCACGCCCTTTTAGGTTCCAGACTGTCGGAGAATGCCATCAAACTCAGCGAGAGAGCCTAATTTGACCAATCAAGGCCTGCCCTCGAGAGAACCAATTGCAGGAGGATGCCCTCGAGATTGAACCAATGAGAGAGCGCGCAGCAGAGAGCACTGCCACGCTGATGGAGAGAACAGGCCAATCATCGCGGCCCGCGCAATCTGGGCGGTGGCGTTGCAGGTCCCCGGGTGGCCCCTCTTGAGTTTGCCGGGGCGACCTGGCTGTCGAACCTAGGGACCCCGAGCGGTGGCTGGTTCCCCGCCTGGTGTCCCTCCCGGCTCCTGTCGGATTGCAAATTGTGCCTGTGCCGTGAGCGGAGCTACTCCTGGGCGCAAAGACCCGGTTGCGGTTTCCATGGAAACTGCTGGCTCTGGCTGCAGCGAAGGGGACTGGGCCCTGGGGGACTTGGGGATCTCGCGTGGGTGGCCCCAACGGCCGGACTTGCTCATCCTCGCCGATACCTCTGTCCCTGGTTAGAATAAACCCCGATCCAAAGTGTAAAATGAAGCCTAGCTGCGGCCCCGCCCCCACGAGCTGGTGAGGCGCCTAAGGGGCCAATCTGCGCGTGGCGCCACAGGGCTCCCTCGGGCACGTGCTTTGGCTCGCGGCTGCGGTCCCCGGGGTCACGTGGCTGCGGCCACCAGGGCCCACGCAGCTTGCGCGCCACCTGGCGGCCGCCGGCCTGGTATCGCTCCCGCCTCTTGCTGGCAGCCAGCAGGAGGAGGCGGCGACCTCAGGCATCCTCCTCCGGGAAATGGGGCCAGGGCAGCCTCCCCGCCGCTGCCAGCTCCCCTCCCCAACGAGGCTTCCTGTTCCAGGAACACGCCGAGCCGTTCTACCTCGGGGCTTTGGCACTGGCTGTTCCTTCGGCCTGGGATTTGCCTCCTCCAGCTCTCTTCAGGGATGGAACCTCTTTGTCATTCTGGACTATGCTCAAATGCCACCATCTCAGGGAGGTCCTCTCTGACCACCGACTTAAACAGCGCCTCCAGAAACTAACATATCACCCTATCTCCTGCACGGCACTTGTCAACAGCTGTAGATGTCTTACATAGGTGTTTACTGAACATCTCCCCAACCGGTCCCTGAGCTCTCTGAGGGTGGGGAATTAGTATTCCATGAGGGATTAGGAGTGGGCATCAAGATCCTGAGTCCCAGGAGATGTCCGGTGGCCTCCCGTTTCCCAACCTCCCACCCTCTGACCCCGTGAGACGGAGTGTTCGGGGTTTCCAGGCCCAGATAGCCGAGGCAGTGCAGAGGCTGTCAGGAAAGGGGCATCACCGCCTGCCTTAGCCTCGCTCAGGAAGGGACCAGGTTGGAGACAGAGGGGCCCAGCTCCCCAAATCATCCAGGCCTAGGGGAAGGGCATCTCCTTTCTCGCTCTTTAATCTCGCTCTGCTCTCTTGACACAGTTCTGGCAGTGCAACCCCAGGCGCCACCTCCAGAGATAGGGCGGGGTTGGAGGGGGCCCAGCCCCAGGGCAGAGCAGGGGCGCCTCCTTCCGGCCCGCGGTCCGGGAGGCCCCCGCGGCTGTCTGGGCCCCAGCAAGCCCAGGCGTGGTGTCCGAGTGGACGAATAAATAGGGGCGGTCAGTGGTTGGATGGGTCAGGCTGGCTTGTGGTCCGGGTGGCTTTTGAGCGTGTGGAACTTGACGCTGTCCAGCTTCTCGAAGCGCTTCCCGCAGCGCTCGCACGTGAAGTTGTACTGCACCTCGGCCGTGTGCTTCTTCATGTGCCAGTTGAGCGACGCGCGCTGCCGGCACTGGTAGCCGCAGATCTCGCACCTGCGGGGGGGGGGGGG